CCCTTGCAGAGGAGGCCAGCAGGCTCGGGGAGGTCGGAGGCCGCGAGAGGGGCGATGCCCCCAGGGGCAGCACGGGGGTCGCTTCGCGGCGGGCGGCCCGAGGAGGGAGACCAACGAAAACAAGTGCATCACAGCGGTGTCTGTGTCGGCGGTTTTCGGACCGGAGCGCCGTATTGACAGCTGCCACGTGCTTGCTGGTGGAAATTTTTATTTCTCCCTAGTTTTCTCGTTCTGACCTGGAGACAGAATCGCATGTACCCTCGTTACGATTCTGGTCCAATGCAGAAGGCTACATTTAATTGAGGCGCCGTCGTTGAAAGGAAAATGTTTGGTGAATAGAAAGCTCATGGTGTTTAATTCATGGAAATCACCCTGTTTTGTTTTTTTTTTTAATTTCAAATTACCGCATACAGAATTTAGAAGATAGGCTGTAAACACCTTGCTGTTGGTCAAGGACACACTTGGTCTTTGTGTCCTTTTACAGAAAGGATTACTTTCCCAGAATAGCACCACAATAGTACCTACTGAGGTGTCTGGTCTCCCAGGTTGCTGTCCAGAAAGTATCTTTGTTTGGTGAAGAATGATCACTTTTAATACCTTGGTTTGGGAATGGCTCAAACAAAGGCTTGTTTGGGTGCGGGAGTGAACCCAGTGTGGTGACACTCAAGCATGGAAGCTAGGATAGGTGTGGAGCCACCTGCATTTCAAAGAATATTTTATTTGCTAATAAAAATGAAATAAATGTTGGATGACGTGTAAAATTAGCGCCTTTGGGGTAGTTTTCTAGACATTAAATTTGGACTTTGGTCGCCTTGAAATTTTAATAGCGAGGTCTTTTTTCTAGTTTCAAAAGACATCCAGAAGTTCCAAGAAAAAAGAGTAGTTCAATTTAAGGCAGGTCCAAGGAAGTTTTAGATGAATTGGGACCACATTAGCTGGTCATATTATACTGAGCCTAGAGATTTATTTATTTAAAATATGCCTTTGTTAGATATGCTAGCTCTTTGGTGACAGTGAGGTGTTCAAGATGAAGGCATGTCACACTTTGACAGTTGGAGGAGACTTGAACAACCCAAATTAGAAAGTGATCAAAATGAATTTTATTAAGAAGCGTTTAATTTCCAATACCAGCAGCCATGTGAAAATGGCAGCTATTTACCCACCTGTGCTCCTAAAGCTGAAATGAGCCACTCTAGAAAGTGCTATGCATCTTGTAAGCTTTCTACTGGAAAGTCTTTTACTACATCTGTGTCTGCTGTGTCTGACCTTGGAATTGTTCACTTGACTTCATAGTGATGTAAAAGTCCATTGGAAGTTTTGCTTAGTTTCTTTTGTGGGTAGGGTGGTACTGGGGTTGAACCCAGAGGTGCTCAACCATTGAGCCATTTTTTATTTTTTATTTTGAAACGGGATTTTGTTAAGTTGGCTTGGGGCCTCAATGAGTTGCCCAGGCTGGCCTGGAACTTTGGATCTTCCTCCCTCAGCCTCATGATTGCTGGGATTACAGGCATACACCACCATGCCTGGCCTTGGCTGAGTTTCTTAAAAGTAGTTTTTAAAACCTGTTGTTGGGTTTGTGTGCCCATTTTATGCATGAGCAGACTTCTAGTTATTCTCTGAAATTTAGCAGCATACTTGACCACATATTCTTCAATGGTCCTCTGAGTTGTTATTTGAGTTATATTCATACCAACAAACATCCCGTGGTGGTACAGTGCTAGGCATGATAGAAGTTTATCACCTACTGGAAAACCAGTCATGTATTGGTCCTTATGTAAGCTATCCTATACCTTAGCTCAAAAACACCTTAGATTGAATAATAATACATCTCTGCTCTAAATCGCTTAGATCACAGGTAAAAGGAATAGCAGGCTTGCAATGAATAGTTATGATCTGAAATCCTGGTTTTGAGTTAGGTGGTCCATATAAGCTTGGTGTTTGTTTGTTGTAGATGGACACAACGCCTTTATTTTGTTTTATTTTTGTCTGATGCTGGGGATTGACCAGTACCTCATCCATGCCAGGAAGTGCTCTACCACTGAGCCACAACCCCAGCCCTCACGTAAGCTTGCTTTGCATTGTGTTTGATAGCCAGTGCAGTTGTAGGGAGGTGATATTGAGGACTGCTTTTTACCCCAAGCCTCAACAGACATGTCTTCAGCAGCCAAAGAGAGAACCAGAGACAGCATTGTTGTTCAACGAGCAAATCAAAAAAACAAAATGCCAAGTTATCAAGAGTGAATTGTACCAGATCTTGAATGGACGTTATTTTGCACTTTGCTAAATTATCTTTGTGAGGTTCCAGTTTTCACTTGCCATTGATAAAAGTACAGAGAAATACTGATTTTTACATTCCAAATGTCAACAAAGTCTTATGAGCACTTAACTGAACACCATCAATCCTGAAGCAAAGGTTGAAACCCAGAGGTAGCAAGAAATGAGGATGTACCTGCTAAAATGTGGTAAAGGTACAAATTCAAGTTTTCTTGAAATTGAATGTGGTAGCACATACCCTTAGTCCCAGATACTCATACTGAGGTAGGAGGATTGCTGGAACCTAGGAGTTCAAAACCAATGTGGTGAACATAGTAAAACCTTGCCTCTGTCTCCAAAAAAATATTTATTTGAGGTTTCAGTTAGGCAGCTAGAATTCTAGCCTTTTAGTACTGGGGATTGAACTCAGGGGCACCACTGAGCCATACCCCAGCCCGATTTTGTATTTTATTTAGAGACAGTCTCACTGAGTTGCTTAGCGCCTCCTGAGACGCTGGGATTTCAGGCATGCCCTACCATGCCCGCTGAATTCTAGCCTTTTAAGTTGAGGGACTATCAGGACAACTTACCTAGAGGTCCTGGTGAAGAAGGGTATTTTTAGAAATCATGTCGGTGGAGAAAATTAAAAAAAAAAAAAAAAAAAAAAAAAAAAACAAGTACAGCTAACTTAATGGAAGTATTGGACATTATGGGTCATTAAGCCCTTTCTTTTTTTTTTTTTTTTTTAAGAGAGAGAGAGAGAGAATTTTTAATATTTATTTTTTAGTTGGCGGACACAACATCTTTGTTGGTATGTGGTGCTGAGGATCGAACCCGGGCCGCACACCAGGCGAGCGCACTACCACTTGAGCCATATCCCCAGCCCCTCATTAAGCCCTTTCAAAAATCAAGCAAGGGTGCCTAGCACATGTGAGGCAGTGGGTTCAATCTTCAGCACCGCATAAAAATAAATAAGTAAAGGTATTGTTCCCATCTGCAACTAAAAAAAAAATTTTTTTTTAAATCAAGCAAGCACTCACTCTGAGGCCACAGCGTGCAAAGGCAGGGAGCGCTGCCCCCAAACCCTAGGTGAGCTGGGTGCTGGAGCCTGATCTTGGCCATCTGACACCTCTCCCCCAAAATGGGCACTGAACCCAGGGCCTTGTACATGCTCCTTGTTCTGTAAACACTTTACCACTGAGTGTGTCCCCAGCCCTCTAACCATTAAGTAAATTTTTTGTGGTGGGGGGAGCCCGGGAGAGATTGCGCATGCTAGGCAAGCACTCTACCACTGAGCTTCATCCCCAGTTCTAAGTTTTTTTTATTGTGGTAAAATATACATAGCATAAAATTAACATTTCAAACATTTTAGGTGTACAGTTCAGAGTATTAAATTGATTCACAATGCAGTGTGCCTGCCCCGCCCTCCATCTTCCTGACTTCACCTGGTAAAGCTAAAACCCTGTACCCATAAACAGTAATTCCCCACTTCCCCTTCCCTAAGGCTCTCACAGCCACTATTCTACTTTCTGTCTCTAAGTATATTTTAAGACTTAAAATGGGAAGGAAAGCAGCATGTAAAAACTATTGTTATTTCCACTGATGCTGCCTGTTTGAGGGGTGGGGCCCAAACACAGGATCTTTAAGCAGGCATTTTGCCACTGAGCTTTACCTCCAGCTGGGTGGGTTTTTTTTTTTTTTTTTAATAATTTGTTTACTGTTTGACCTACTAGACACTATTGTATACCATGCATATAGAAACTTGGCTTGTCCCCTATTCTGTCCTCTGCCTGAAACATAGGAGATGTTTATCAAGTGTTTGAATGAGTGATTGGCATTTTTTTTTTAATCAAAAATCAAAAGTGGGGCTGGGGCTCGGGCTTGGGCTCAGTGG